CTAGCAAAACATGGTGCTAGGTATGTTTTAGCAGTTGGAAATCTTTAATGATAGATAATTCAGTAAGAAGTACTGCTTAAACCTGAATGCTGTTTGTATTACTTCTGGGAGAACTACTAAAACTGAGCACAGATATCGTATGAAATATTAAACTGGCCTCACAAACTCATAAGAGAAATGCCTAATGTAATAAAGTTTGTAAATTTTTAAGCAAAGAATAACTTCCAAGATCTCAAAGCTTATATGTATCTATAAAATAAGTAAAACTTTCAGTCTTCAAATTGTTACACAAATATTCCCAAAGAAATGCCTTTGGAAGAACTTAAAAATTAACGTATATTGTGGTCAGATTCAATTTACAAAAACCCCCTAAAAACCTAAGAACCTGCTTGTGAAATAATGCAAGCTGACAGACTGTAGAGAAGTTTTAGTTGCCCTTTTAAAAATAAGTAATTACGTGGAAACAAAACAGTCGCTGTAGTTTTGAAAACAGATTCCTGATGAAAGGACAAGAGGAAACCTTGCATTTGGACTTCTAATGAAAACACTTGTGTATGCCTTACTTGCAAAGTCATCTTTAATCTCTGCTTTCGTTTATGTATGGAGTGACATGTGACAGGTATCAGTCCATATATCTGTTCTTTCTGATTTAATTCTGCCCTTTATTCCCCAAATAAATCAGTTTCATTCTATGTTCTGAGTAAATGCTTATAGCTCTCAAGTTGTATAGCATGCTTCACGTTGCAGAAGCTGTATTCTAGTTCCCTTACCATGTCACGTTTGGATCTCTGTAGTAAACTGCTTGTGGTGAGAGGAGCAAACGTTAGGTGCTGAGCATTCACTCCTCTGCCTTTGTTTCTCCTAGGTTCAGGTGTCATTCACCCATGATCGCTGAGGACAGGAGAGCCCTTTATTCCAAGGAGGCTTTAAAGCTAAAACAAAACCAAAAAAAAAAAAAAGCGGGGGGAGGAGGAGGAAGGAAAGAGCAATCTCGTAGCTCTCATGCTCAGGGAAGATAGCTGAGAGAAGCAGTCATATGTCATGTTACTTGCTGTTGTTGCAGTGGAGATAGCAGCTGGGGTGGGCTTGCATGATAAATCTGGACCAGAGGGACTGTTCCTCAGCATGTGACAATTTGGATGGGGATTTGGCCTGAGAGTAGGGATGTTTACTTGGATTATGAATGTTCTGTTGTCCCAGCCTATTGCTGCCTGTTAAGTGATGAGCAAGTGTGGTCTCCTCTTGCTGTAGCAGAGTTAACTTTGTGTTGGCTTTCTTTTAATGTAAGAACAATGGGAAAACCTCCTGTGGGTTGTCAGAGCGTTGCGGACATCTGTTGAACGTATGACTTTCTGCATCTAGCTCTTGTCCAAAATAATTACATTCTTGACCTTTCTATTAAGACATGTCTGTAAGATGTTATGACTTTGGTTTCAGCAGACATTTGGGAGGGGGAAATAAAGCAAAGTAAATTTCCTTAGTAGTTCTTTTCTTACATCATTTCATTGATTTTTTTTTTCTTTTATTATTATTATTTTCTCCCTCTTCATTATAAGCCTTAGTTCACAAAACATTTTGGTTTTGGAAATTTACATTGGTTTTGAAGTGAAGTAGAGCATTAGTATAAGACAACTGTATCATAATGAAAGTAGGTTTAATTAACCAGTTATTTAAAATAGTAATGACTTCTGGAGTCCTGTTTATACAACAGCTGCAATTGATTTTAATCTGAGAGCGCTGCCCTTAATAGGATCTTTCTGATTAATGTAGAATATTTCCTTAAGGTCCTCTATGATACAGAAAGGGAAAAACTGGTTTTCTGCCTTCTGTATGTATATTAAAGAAGCAAAAGAAAACTGGTACGATTCTAACCCATCTGAAAAAACTTGTTTCTAAAGAGCCAGAGAGATTGAACCAGCTGATTTCCCAGTCTAGGTGAATGTCAGCATCTTGGAACAAGTGTGTGAAATATCTCGTAACACTGTTCACTTGATGAGTTTAGTTTTAATTATTTATGACAGCCACTCTTGAAAATACTCTCAAGATTTATGTAGTCTTGGATCAGAGTACAGTATTATCTTTGAAAAAAGTGGGTAAACACAGTTTCATAAATAATGGCTATATTGGTAATTTTGTACTGAGTAGACAACCTTGATGATGAAATAGCCCAAAGTCTACAGTCTAAGGTATGTAATAGAGACTACACATAATAGAGCTAAAAAATACCTATGTGTAGCATAATGTTAGAAGAAAAAAGGCAATTTTTTTGGATATTGATTTTATTTTCAATTTCAGTCTCTCATCAGCTTCTGCAAATTGGTGATAATAAAGCATAACACCCGCATTGTAAAAGGAGCTTCTGATAAACTACAGTATCTTCTTGTTGGCCACTGTGTATTTGAGCAATAGCTGAATGGCTTATTGATCATATTTCTTCCCCATATGGTTGCACATTTTTTCAGAGGTGAGGTAATTTTGGTGAGATACTTCTTTTGTGGGATTTGTTCATTTAGATAGCTATCAGGTGTCTTAAGGGCTTAAGTGTAGCATCGGTGCGGGGGAAGATGGGGGATTTAAATCATTATGATTATGCTGGTATAACTCAGCCTAGTGAGTTCTCTTATTACATATAAAAAGCCTTTTTCCAATAGTTTCATAAGAAGTAGTTTGAGAGTACATTAAAGAAAAACAAACAAACAAAACCCAAAACAAACCCAAACCTTTCCAAACCAGGAATGCTGTTCTAGAAAAATGGGTTGTTTTGTATTTATGCTTGTATACTGAAATGGGTTTAATTATACTGCTTGTACTGTCCTATCTAAACAAATGATTTGTGACTTCATCACCATGATCTTTGAAAGAAATAACAAAAAGCAGTTGCCATGGATGGAAAGGTCTGTTCTGTGCCTCTTCATTTTGACATCTAATGATTTTTATCATTTGTACACCTCACTTTTGCCACTGTTTTTGAATAAAGCTTGTTTAAATGAGATCTAGGTGGTCGGTAGGACAAGAAAAATGGTCTTGCTTACTGGTTTCAGTGATACAGCGATATTCTGCATTTAAAGCTGTAAGTACAATAAAGGGATCAATTCTGCCTAGTAATACACTCAGCTGCTATGTGGAATTCTCCGTGAGAAAATCATCCTGTGTCTTTCGTAGATCGTTTATATTGCAAGGATTCTTGTGACCATTTACTTTTAACTCACTTGAGTGCTTGTTTACCTTTGTGTAGTGACAGTTTCAATGTCATTCTTTGTTAAACTTTCTTTTGAGGGAAGCAGTAGATAATTTAAGAAAAGCCAACTCATTACTCTTTTTTTTCCAAATTAGTTTCATATTTTTTTCACAGAATTTGGATTTTCATTGAGTTGTACAAAAGTAGTTGAGGAAAAACACTGTAGCATCTTTGGTGACAAATCAGATACAGTCTGCTGAACATACCGATTTTGTCTGAAGTAAAATTAAATTCAGTATTTCTAAGGTGACTTAGAGGAGCAGCAACAAAATTTTGTTTTATAGCTGCTTCTCTGTCTCTAAGCCTAATATGCTGGTTTTAATATCTTGGTTATTGAATCTAGGGAGGCTTACTTCTCTTGCCTGGACGATGCATATTTTAATTTGAATGTTTAAACATTTTCAAATAGAATTCCTTAACCAGACTGTGCCAGTTGTATTTTTCTGTAGAAGAGAAAGTCATACCCTCATACAGAAGTTGATTTTCTAGCTTGGGCTCTTAATTTCAGAGGGTAGACCATTTGAGGAATTGTTAATTTTAACCTTTAGGGTACCTTGAAGTTTAAAAAGGGCTCACGCTGGAACCATGAGAGGAAAATACAGAAAGAGCAAGAAATCTAGGAATCTGTATTGTATTCTAAATGCAGAACTGATTATTAGTGCATCTGAATTATAGAGAATCACGTTGCTGAGTTCAGAAGGGCATTTTGGCAGGCTGACTGGCAGGGTTGCCTTTGAGCCTTGTATTGAATGACTCGCCACAATTTGGCATATCAGAATACATTTTATTGGAATTTAATTAGTTTTTCTCCATGTGTCCTGGCAGTAAGAAATATGTGAACTATAAGCATACTAAAATGCTTCTGCACAACTGTATTGACTGTTAATTTTCTTTTTCTGTGGCATAAAATCATCCCCTGCATGGGGAGGGGAAAATAAGAATGTGCCATTGTCTGCTGCCTTGATGCGTAAAGACCTGCAAGACAAGCCTAAAGGTTTTTCTAGCTTAAAATTTAAGACCTGTCTTTGACTCTGACTGGAAAAGCAATTAAATGGTCTGTGAGCTAAGTGTGAAAATTGAGTAATGGAGGAAAGACGGGTTTGTAGTCAGTGTTTTAGTGTTCTACTATTGTTAAAATCTGTTTAACATCAGTGACTAGCATTTTTAAGCGGGCGCCTCTGATCAAAGATTCAGCACGAGTATTTGTAAGACTGAGACCTAAGAATGTTCTTTGGAGATGCTAGGATATCATCAAATAAAACCAGAGAAAATTAGAGTTGGCAGCCTTTTAATTCCTTTTTTTTTTTTTTTATGTAAGCTCTTTTGGGGTGGTTTGGGAAGGTTACAGTATAAAGAGCAAAAAATCCCCAGACGATCCCAGTTTAAAAGGTCTTGGAGGTCACCTCTAACAATGAGGCAATGATGTAATTGGTTTGCATTACATTATTGAAGTCATCATCTTTGCCCCACACTAAAGCTTTTAGTTTGTGTGGAGAAATCGCCACTATGAATTGGGCAGTACGCTTACATTAAGCTGTGAACTCTCATTGCATTAAATGTGAATCAGGATTCCATACCTGGGGTAATTCTGAAGCTATTTGGCCTTTTCAGAGTTGACGAAGCTACCTGTGTCTATTGTGGCTTTTCATAGCTTTTCTTGAGCTAACCCAACTGGAGTTTTAGAATAGGGTAAGAATCTGAGTCTGAGAGTAATTCACAGCTGATTTGGTTTATGTTCCTGACTGGCTTGTTTCTTTTTCAGATCCCTTGCTGTTGGCAGTAAATCAGGCTACAAATTCTTCTCTCTTTCTTCTGTGGACAAATTAGAGCAGATCTATGAATGCAGTGAGTATCTTCTTTTTTTTCTTTTTTATCCCCTCAGTTGGCATAATTTGGGAGGGATAAGACATGTTTCATTTTTTTCACAGGTGGTTTGAAATTGACATAAGAGGAACCTTAAGTGTATGATGAAATATCGCACAAATACAAAACAATTGATTGCTGGCAGGGTAAAACTATATATCAGTGGCCAATATTTAAATTTAGCTGATATGTTGTGAAATTTGGTAATAGTTACGAGAAGAACTCTTTGCTTCTCTAATTTTAGGTCCAATAGCCAGGTTATGCAGCAGCTGGATGTTGTGGGGAGAGGTGGGAAGAATTTGTTAGAGAGTGTCTTTTGGGTCTTTGGCTAGTGGGGCAGGCAACCACTAATACACCATTATCAAATAAAAAACCCAAACCAGTCTTGATTATCTTTTTCTTTAATTCTAATACTTGCTGTTTAGAAAAATACTTTTTAACATGATAGTTGCAAGTTTACTTATCCAAAAGGGTGAATAATCTATATTCCCATAACTTCTCAATTCTGATTGCAATTGAATTGGATATGAGATGAAATGGAGGAAGGCTTAAAGGAGAAATTGTATCCCCTGTTTTGCCAGCAGTTCATGGACTTCCCTTTTTCAAGGTGCTAATAAGTAAACTATGAATGCTATGCGTGAATATCCTTGCTTTCTTATAAACTCCATGTGAACAGATGGTACCAGTAGTTATGATGTCAGCATTTATAGTAGGATCCTGGTGTATCATACTTCACAACAGAGTTGTCTTCAGACTCCATTCCCTAAGTGACCTGACCCTGTGGCATCTTAAGTTTGAAAATGGTGTGTGATTCAGATCACTATTACCTGTGGTGACAGCCTGATTCTGTATACAGTCAATGGAGAGGAGTAATTGTGAGGTTTAAATTAGGCACCTGTGGTCAGGTTAAATTCTGTTGCAGCTACATCTGCCTGTTTGAGTCATGGTCTGGTTGTACTGGTTAATCGGTGGGTTGAATTCCATTTTATGCCGTTGGGTTTAGGTACCTGACCTCTGTAGTATGTTAGGCACTTACAGTATCTGGCCTGGTATCACCCCAAGAGACTTGGAGAAGATGATTCCTGTTACACAAGACACTGAATAAACATATTCAGAGACACTGAACTGAACTTTGCAGGACTGATGCTTCTAGGTAGTCTTTGAAAGAAAAAGTACAGATTGGATAAAATGCCTTGCTCAAAATCCTGCAATAAATTGATAAAGCAGCTGGGATTAGAATTTAGACCTGCTGATTCCAGTCTTGTCTATGAACTGTTCTAGGTGTTGTCTACAAACTGTTGTGGGATGCCTGTATTGGCTTAACCTCTTTGATATTGTAAGTTTTCTTTCATGAGTGCTAAGTCTGTAAATGCAGAGCAGGGAATGTGAGGTAACACTTAGTAGAAAATTCGATGGTTTAACTTGTGTAAACCAGCCTGTCTTGACCTCGGCTTATAGGGCATGCAATGTCTGCAGCAGATTTAAATACTTGAAATCTTTATTTTTTTGTATGCAGTTAAATAATTTTCAGTCTTGGGCTTGCACACCATGCCAGTTTAAAACTTGATACAGGGGTGGAGGGCTTCCTACGTATTGGGTACCTTCTTTCTGCAAGGAAGAGGTATCTTGAGGCCTCCTGGACATGTGCCTGCTGCCTCCCAGTTTAGTTTCAGTGAGTCTAAAGACTTTGTGTTCTTTTGAGTGAGCACTTTTAAGGACCCCTCCCTCTCTTCTGCAAGATTGATCTGCCAGTTCTTGCGTAGGTGTGTAAACTAAACTACAGAATATGCCCCAGCTTTCTTGTGTTTGAGAGGATGACTGAGAAGAATGGGAAGTTTCTTTGCTCTCATCACTGACTTCCATGGTGGCTCTGTACCAATCGCCTAACTCCCTGTTCACTTGATCCCCCTGTAAAAATCAGTATTAGATTGGAGAGTGCTTTAAGGCTTAATGAGTGCTTATAATATGCTTCATGTTCTTGGACTAAAAATGGAATAAAAGCACAGCTGATCATAATCTAGCTGGTTCTAACCAGCTCTTGTCTGTGATGCTACACACTTGTGTTTATGAAACTGTAATCTTGTTATGTATTTGCTTGTTCTCCCCTCGCTGCTGATACTTAAATCATTTTGCAGTTCTTTTTGTTCTTACTATATTTTGAATCTGAGCTTCTGGTCATCCTCACTTGTGTAAAGGAGAAAATACAAATAGAAAAAAAAAAACCTGATTAACAGTAGTGCTATAGGACTTAACTAGTGCTTCTAAACATATGATTAATTCAGGTAAGCTGGATGTAGGGTGTGCAGTACAGCCCAGTACTCTACCCAAATGGTTACTAGTTAGGAAGCATATGTGAGTTGGCAGCTGTGAAGAGATTTTATCACTTCTTCCTGTTAGGGGAAGACAAAGGAACAGAGGTGCATCCTGTATGTTTCAAGTGAATTTAATTAAAAGCTTTTCTCTAAAGGTAACTATCTGTATTATAGTAAGTCTTTTTACAGTGAGACTGAAGAATTTTTAAGTGTTTTCTTTGTTGAAAGTTTTTTCTTCTGTCTGTGACGGCTTAGCTCTTGACAGCGCTCTTCTGTGTGCCTTCCCTGCTGCCTATATTTCCCATCAGTGCAGCATAGGACAGCACTTCTTCCATCTGAATCTCTGCTGCTGTTCCTCTTCTGAAATACCAGTTCTCCTGCTTGCCTGGGAGAGTAACAAATCCCAGAAGCTGTGTCTTAACACAGTTGCCCCTGAATGAGGAAAGAAGCTGTGCTTGTCCAGGAGCAGAGAGCAGTCACTGTGGTTTTTTGGATTTCTGTGTGCTGGTCTTCTGTCTTGTGTAAAAGGATGCTGTCATTACGAAGGACTTCAGACTTAGAGGCTATCAGCTTTCCATCCACTGTAAAATATTTGAGAATCTTTCGTTACTAGTCTTACTCAAGGAACATGGACCTCTGCATTTGAAAGTCTATGCATAATTTTATTGAAGCAGATTTTTGTATTTTTTTCATGTGTTGTGTGTGGCATCAGGAAAATGGAGAACAATTCCTTGGAAAACAAAGTCATTGCTAAAATGCATTATCGCTGCTGCAAAAGTGAGGAAATTGAATTTTCAAAGCTTCTGTGAGCTGTTTTGTCTTCTCTGGAAGAGTACCATATTAAATATGAGATTTAGATAAAAGTCAATTATGTTGCATAGAATAATGAAAATGCTTAGTATAAACCTGCTCCTGTTCCATAAGGAGGCTATTTCTTGTGCATGCTCTCTCTCAAAAGAATGTAGAGCATTAAATATTTTCTCTTCTTTTTCTTGAAATAGCTGCCCAGAAAAAGCACTTTCAAAGCAGACATGTCACACAGTGATGACATTGTCATATGCTGAGAATGTTGGACAGACCTTTTTTCAGGGAATTTCTGTCATTGGTGATGAGAACAGTGCCAATTATTTAATGTTTCTCTTGGCCAAAACAGAAGCCTTCAGAAATAAGCTGCTTTTTTCTTTTTCTTTTTTTTTTTTTTTTTACTGGCAGTTTTATGGTTTGGAACATGTTAAGCGTTGAGCTAATCCAGATACTGACTTCTGAAAAGTTTGGTTGTTCTGATGGATGAAGGCCAAAGGCTCAAGTCACTTGTCTTGATTCAGTTCCGTAACGGAACAGCAAATGTAGCCAGTAGCTGAGAGAGAGCTGCCAAGAGTGGGAAAACTCTCCAGCTTTCTCCTGCTGTGAAAACTACGTCCCCCTTGTCTCTGGGGCTTTTGGAGGGGACTTCAGGGGATAGTAGGGAGCAGCACAAATGCCAGGGTAACTGGTGGTGGGACTTAAACTCCTACCAGCTTGGTCCAGTGCTGTACTATAATCAAATGCTCTGAAAGTGCTTCTTTGCCAGAGATCCTGGACTCTCCTCCTTCTTGCTGTCTTCACCACATTTTGAATGGTGACTTGTGTTCCTCCTTTGCCTCTAGTACTTCCATAGCAGAGCACGTGACAGAAGTAATGCTGTCTGATGGCTATGCATACATGCTGGGCTTTGACTCCTGTACAAATTGTTTTTAGGGACTGTCAGGTAAAAGATAGTATGTGTCAGAAAAACACTGATCAGTGGCTGAAGCAGTCTTATAACAAACAAGTTTAGCAGTTTCTTTGAGTACAATAACCGTTCTTTCTTCATGGAGAGGTGTGCAGAAACTGCAGGGGTTTTGGTCATTGAGAACACTTCTGTGCATAGTATAGCTTTAAAAAACCCACAGAACACACACAAAAAAACCCCACCCAAAATGCTAAAAAACCTTTGCCTTCCTAGATTTCTGCAAAGATAAGAGAATATTATAAAATTCTGGAATTCGATAATTTGCTATTTTTTGTATCTTTGGCATTTTTTTTTTCTGTTGGATCTTGGGCATGGGGGAGTAGATGCTCTGTTATGAAGGGTCATGCAAGTTTACACCTGGGGGGTGGGAAATCTTTGTAAATCAGCATTTACTGTGTAGATTCTCTGCTTTAAAAACCTGTCTTGTATCCCACCTCGACTCTGAGCTGTTGTGGCAGAATGTTTGTGGTGTTAGACTGTATTTTCTTAGACAGTATTTCCTGTTGATGTGCACCATTCTTCTTCCCTGAAATATCCCTCTGTATTTTTCCCTTGTTATTGTGATTCCTCAGCTGACACAGAAGACGTGTGCATTGTGGAGAGACTGTTCTCCAGTAGTCTGGTGGCCATAGTTAGCCTTAAAGCTCCACGCAAGCTGAAAGTTTGTCACTTTAAGAAGGGGACAGAGATTTGCAACTACAGTTACTCCAACACCATCTTGGCTGTCAAACTCAATAGACAGGTGAGTAGTAATTTTGACTAGGTGAAAATATGGGAAGGGGTTGTGGATCTTATTTCTGGCACTTCCTCTGCTGATTGATGTCTCTTCCGTTAGTGACAGAATTGCTATTTTGAAATTAACTTGTACTTTTCCAACTGTAGCTTCTGTATGGCATCTCAGTACTCTGATTTGGTTAAGTATTTTTGGTTCTATGTTTATTTACTTATTTATTTAGGAAAACGCCCTGAGTAAGATGGGCATGCTATGAGCAGGAAGTTGGACTAGAGACCTCCTGAGGTCCCTTCCAGTGTGAATCATCCTGTGATCCTAAATATGAAAGTATGTGAAACTGTCAGTTTCTGTACAGGCCTAAACTGAAAGTTATTATCTATTCACTTTTTATGGTTTTTTAATCCAGTTTCCTGAATTCTTTCGAAATAAAAAAAAAAAAAAATCACTGAACTGGAAGTACCTGCAACCACAGTTTGCTGTATTACTAAGTCATTAATAGGCTGTTCTGCAAATACAGATCTCTCTGTCTTCAGTTCATTCAAAGTAGAGAGAATGGCATCTGAAGGAGAAAATCTTCTTAGTGTCCATCCCCACTCCCAATATCGGGTGTGGGAGGATGAGATTCCTGTTTAAAATCGTAAGAGAAACAGTGGCAAATTTTGATTTCTGGCACAGTGAGGTAGCATTAAATGAGTAACATCTTGTTAGTCATCCAGATGTAGTCTATGAAAGTGTAATGAGATGTTGAAGAACTTAGTTTAAAAAAAAAAAAGCCCCTCACAAAAGATTAGGAGTAAGTAATTGGCTCTGTAAATGGTTAAAAAGTCTTACATGTTTTTCTGTTTAGCCAAAGCAGAAAATTATTTCCACATGTGAATTGGCCTCTTGAGGCGGGGGAAATACATAAGGGTAGGTACAGAATAAGAATTAAATAGCTTTAAATTAAGGCTTCTGGCTTGCTGACTTAAACTATAATGTAAATCATTTTCATTTAAATCAATTTGTGCTAGCGTGGTTGAGAGAAGTCAAGTGCACTGGTCAGTTCAAGTGACTGAGCGTAGTATTGCGCGGTTGAAGCCTTTCAAGAAGTGTATCTTGTGTATCTTCTATCAGACTCTTATTTCTGCCCATCAGGTGGGTACAATCTTTTCTCTATTGAAAGGTATCTACTGCATTTTGGATACAATTTTTGTAGGATTGATATATTAATTTAAACTCCAGTTTGATATCAGCATTTCATCCTCTTTCCCATGTCTAGAGGCTGATAGTATGTCTGGAGGAGTCTCTTTATATACACAACATACGAGACATGAAGGTACTACATACAATCAGGGAGACACCTCCCAATCCTGCAGGTAAGTATGTTGTTAGAAGCTAGCATAATTCTGAAAAGTGCGTTCTGTGTCAACGTATGATGTTTCCTTCAGGGAACTACAGCATTCTTAATTTCACTTTCAAATAAAAGTAAAAATACTTCAGTGTTGTCTTAAAGCCTACCCATTTGATCCGGGTGAGGATTTTGAGAACAAATAGCAGACTCTGCCTTAAACTGCATCTTCCCAGTTTTTTAGTCTCCTAGAGTGGATGTGTTGAAATGTTAGAAAGAAGTAGTAGACATACAAAGTGGACTTTGCCAGCACTTGGTACAGTTAAAGGCTTTGTCAGGTTAACAGTTCAGGAGTCATGGCAGACATGGGAAATTCTGCTGCTTGATCAGTTATAGTAGCTCTATTGGTATTCTTCCTTTTCTACTTTATATTAAACTTTAACTTATGTTAAATAGTTTAATATGTTGCAGGTTGACTCTGAGATCACTCATTCTTGTTCTGTTTCTGTTGATACCTTGTGAGGATAACTTGAGTTATCTTTGTAATAGTCAAACATAGAATCAGAAAGTTTTGCTACGTAAGTCTTGGAATTTGCCTCTTTCTAATTCTGTTTCTGCATCCTTTCTAGGGTTGTGTGCTTTATCAATAAACAATGATAACTGCTACCTGGCCTACCCAGGAAGTGCAACTATTGGAGAAGTACAAGTCTTTGACACCATCAATCTGGTAAGGATCTGTGTGAATGCTGTTTCCACTTCTAAAGATGCAGGTTTTGGTAATGACTGAACTTCCTCAGAGAGGAATTACTAGATGCTCAGTTAGGTTCCTCCACATTAGTTTGCAGTATCTCTTATAGCTGGGCTTCACAGAATGTCTAAAAGAAAAAAAAAAAAAACAAAACAGATGTTTAATATTGATTTGATGACTAGAGTTGGGCAAGTGGGTGGAGCAAAGTAAAGTAATTTCTGTTTGAATTGCATTTGAAGTATCTTTCTACTGTTTATACTCTTTATGCACATGCTTCAGTGATAATGTTATGTACTTCTACTTAGCAGTTACTGAAACAAATATTGAAGCTGTTGCCCATTAACACAGACCCATATTTGCCTTGAATGCTCTTAAATATGCAGTCTTTAGCTGCAAATGTGTAGCTTTTAACCTGGACTGTACTAAGGTTTTATTTTATTGATTCACTCCTGCAGAGAGCTGCTAATATGATCCCAGCTCATGATAGTCCCTTGGCTGCTTTGGCATTTGATGCAAGTGGTACAAAACTTGCCACTGCATCAGAAAAGGTAAGGTGGCTTTTTATTGACTTGCCGACAGTGATAAAAATGAAATTTGTTACTAAGCATTTTAAGTAAGTTTAAGCGTGCACAAGTGCCAAAAAAGAAGGCTTACAGTTATAATGGTTAATGATATCTGACACAATTTCAATGCTGTGAAATGTTGGATAATAAGGCTATTTAAACAAACACATTTTAATCTGGCTGCAATCAGGGCAATCCTCTAACTGTTTCTCCCTTTAGTGCAGGATACTTGTTAGAAATTAGTTGTCTTGTTTTGATGCTGTCTTCCTAATGAAAACAAGACAGCTAAAGTCAGAATAGAGAGAAGCGTCGAAGTGTCTTGCCAGTCTTTGGCACGTGATGACAAATTGTCCATCTAAATTGTATAAATCAGGAAGTCTGAAGCCTCTGCTCTTTGAGTAATAAGCTCAGAATAGAAAGGTGTAACTGATTCCATCTGATAAAGGTGCAAAGACATCCAGGTGACTGTACTTGTGGTCCTTGTCTAGTGTGGTCATCTTCATGATCAAATATGATAAGAAGGGCTGTTCTTGATGCATAGCTTGTTTTCTACATTAGTAGCTCCTGCCTCTTGTTTCTCTACTCTTCAAATGCATCCTACCAACAAGGTCCATAAATACTTCATGCTGGTATGTGCTGTGCAACAATGGCAATAAGTTAACAGCAAAATGGTTTTCTGCTTGTAGTTGTACTCTGCTCACTTGAGCTAATACACACTGAACGAACTTGAAATGATTTTTTTTTTTCTTTACAGGGGACAGTAATAAGAGTGTTTTCCATTCCAGAGGGACAGAAACTCTTTGAATTCCGAAGGGGAGTGAAGAGGTAAAGTTCAACTAGGCTAATTATCTGAAGTTCATTCCTTACGGTGGATCTCCAGTCTGTTCTGCAATTGAGCTGGCATCGTGATTTTTGCCTATTTTCAGCTTCATTCATCCCTGCCAGTGTGCTTTATAACAGTTTCAGCTTGAATGTCTTCCGATTTCACTCCTTTGGACTTGACTATTCTACAAATCAATCCTGTCAGAATTGTACTCCCTCTTGCCTTTTAAAAATTTATTGGTGAGGGAACTTGTTTAAAGTGGGTCACCTTTTGTAAGATATATCGTATTCTTATGGCAGTTGGCGGCAGTACATCTAATATTCTTGCTCTCTTCTAAATCCAGCTAGTGCCATGATCATTGATAGCCGTTGTAAAATGTTACTATGACTTGTGCTAGTAGTCGTCACTCTGTAGCTCTACTGTACTTTATACAGAAGTAAGAATGAGTTCAGATTGATGTATACAAGATACAGGGGTCAATTAGTAACAGAGTTGAACATCGTTAATGGGGATCTTGCTCCTGAAGTGCTTTAAGAAGGTATCAGAACTCAGAATGCTTACTATGGCGATGTTCTTTTTTCTTACTTGCAAAGCAGTGGTGACTGAGAAATCTGCTTAACTATTAATTAAGCCAAATACTTTGCAATTGTGAGTCACCTGCAGTCGCTGACAGGAGAAGAGCAGCAGGTGAGTCTACCATGCAGCCACAGTTCCTCCCAGCTCTGACAGTACAGCTTGCGTGAACATTATGGAGCTCCTTAGTGGTGAATGTGCAGAAAGACTCCTACCTACCAAATAGAGAAGTAATAGTTTCATTTAAATCTATTCCCTTGAGTTGGTTAACACTAGCTTTCTTCTTATACCAATTGATACAGTACTAGAATGTCAAAAATAACGCTTCATTGTTTTTCCTTTTTTTTTTTCCCCTAGGTGTGTGAGCATCTGTTCGTTGGCTTTCAGCATGGATGGCATGTTTCTGTCTGCATCCAGTAACACAGAGACAGTGCATATCTTCAAACTTGAGACTGTGAAAGAAAAGTAGGTTTCAGAGATGCCTTAGATTTTTCAAGGAAAAGGCTTTAAAATCGATTATACTCAACAGGATGAGTTCTCCAAAGTGTGGACAGACTTCTTTTGAATGCTTCCCTAAAGGAAAGGGCATAAGAAGTCATTTATGAATCAGCAACTGCAGCTGAGCTATGTACTGTTCTCTCAGTGAATAGAAAAGGTATTTCTGCCGAAGAGAAATTGGCAATCCTTGGCAGAGGAATGTGGAGCAGCTCAATGTTTTCAGTTACATATGTGTTTCACCTCTTCTGACGTCCATATGAAACGAGCTATCTTAGCAACATCTTCCAGCTGCCTACAGGGCTTTAAAAGGCACCAGACTATAAAATGTTCCTATTTATGATTTGAGAGGACAGTCTTTCTTACATTTCTGTGGGTGTTGCTGGAAACAACTATTTGCTTAATGATAAACAAGTGAAATAAATCTTGACGTGTAGTACTTCCCAGTAGATCTTGCTCTTGTATAACGAACCTTATGAAATGCAGTTTTATAAGCAGAAGTATCAGTTTACAATCAAACATGCTTAAGTAACAGGCTGAGAGTATTGTAGGACACGTTGTGCCCTATAGCATAAGTGAAGCGCATTAGGGTTCTCAAAGGTGTTTGTTAGTTATTTCTGAAGAGAAGCAAATAGCTGCTTAATATCTTTAAAAATAGAAAGATTTTTCAAAGTGCTTATGCGCTTTTCTCTCTAATGTGAAGAAGGCAAAGTCGGTCACTCTTTTCTTCTGACTTGCAGACCTCAGGAAGAGCCTACAACCTGGACAGGTTACTTTGGAAAAGTGCTGATGGCCTCAACAAGCTATCTGCCCTCTCAAGTAACAGAAATGTTCAACCAGGGTAGAGCCTTTGCTACGGTCCGCCTGCCGTTCTGTGGGCACAAAAACATCTGCGCGCTTGCCACGTGAGTAGAGAAATGGAGCCTGCCTTCACCACCCTGCTGGGTTGCCATGTTGGGCTCTGGAGAGGCTGACACTGCAGCACATAACCTCATCTCCAGCAGAGTGGGTAGCACACAGAGCAGTGATCACCTGTAAGCATTTCAAAGCCTCTTCCAGTTTGAGCAACATGTCAGAGCTATAACACCTTACAGTCCTGTGAGGGGAGGAGGGAAAGGCATAATATTTGGATGAGAATAGATGACTTCTAAGTGTTGTTTAAAGATGTCTTTTAATTTTGAAAGAAGAATGTTGAGAACAGACCCAGGAGCTTATGGCATTTGCTTCCATTAGTGCCAGGGGGAGTGATAGTGTATGTTGTGTTAGTGAATTGCAAAATTAGGCAATCCAGACTAACCATTAAAGAAGTCTTTGAAACCAAGTTCACATTATTCTTGTCTCTGAAACAGCATAGCATTCATTAAAGCTAATTTTGAGGACTAACTCTAATCTTTATTCTGTCTCCACCAAAGGCAGGTCCCACTTGGCACAGCTACCAAAGCAATAAGCCGAGTGGTAGTAAACTTATTTTGCGGGGGTTTTACAGTTTTTATGCTAAACTGACTGCATGTCTGTACTCTCACTCCTCTGATCTCAAAACAACCTTTAAGCAATAATTAAGCCTTGTAACATTTCTGAAATAAGCACATACTTCCCGTTAGAATATTTGTCTCTGGAGTTGCACAAAGCTTGATAACAGGATGGTAATTTCTGAATCTCTTCTACTAGGTTATATATAAGTTGCTTGATTCCTGTGGTATCCCATTAGCCCTAAAATGTCGTTAACACCTTACTTTTTTTACACACAGTTCCTTCCCAGGTGCTCTTGACTGTTAACAGTGTTCCCTGTCTAGAAGCAAGAGTGTGGAAAATAATGGCTTAAAACCATGAGAGGGGAGGAGAGTGTGCTGATATGAACCTTAAGTTCTTATTAATCTGTTGCTCTGCCCTAAACCTTTCTAGAATCCAGAAGATCCCTCGTTTGTTGGTGGGAGCTGCTGATGGGTATCTCTACATGTACAACCTAGACCCCCAAGAAGGAGGAGAGTGTACACTAATGAAGCAGCACAAGTAAGTCCACGTTAGCTGAGGACTGTTGTATTCTCTTTTTTCACAAAATCCAGTTTGTTCTTAAACTTAGTTCTGTTCTGCAAAAGTCTCACTTAGAACAGCTCATTTCTTTAATCTTTTTCCAGACCTCTGACATGAATGAGTAACTTCAGAATTCCCCTGTGCCTACCTTCCTAGTATCTGCTACGCTAAGCACTGCTTTACCAGCAGAAACTTAATACTGTCCGATTGCAGTGAAGGATCAATCGCTGTTAGCTGTATGATCTTGTTTCTTCTTACTTGGCAGTTTGAATTGAGTTACTTAAGAACTTGAAACGTCTGACACCATCCTCTTCATCAATAAATGAAGCGGTTACAGAGATGAGAAAGAGATGTTACTCTGACTTCCCACAGAGAGGAATCTGGCCTACGAAATCTTCTGTATTCTCTCTCTACCGGTGTCCTTATTAAATTTCCTTGCATATAGGCCAGCCAACTAACATTCTGTCCCAGCACTGTAGAAAGCTTAAGGAAAATACAACAAGGCGTTGTTACTCTTTTTTAATAAGACTTGGCAGGAAAAGCTAGGTTAATATAGTCAGATTACTTACGTGATCAATCATAGAATTAAAGCAAGTAACTCACAAGGATAATTCAGGTCTGCAGCTTTGGTCAGTCTATAATACTGGTCAAAAATCATACCTTTTTCTGAACACTTTAAGATATGATCTCTAGTTTCACTTGTAGATCAAGTGAAGTCTCAGAGGGAAGTTTTTATCAAGTTCTTAATCTCTGAAATGCTCTAATACCTTCACTAGAGGGTTTTCTAGTATATGTGTATGAAGCAACTGCTTCTGTTGTGGACACAGCTCAAGAGACAATCTGTAATATTACTGATTGGAATGGTTATTGGTTTTTTAATCCTGCACTCTTGAGTCTTTTTTTCATAGCATCAGCAACTAGGATCTAGATTCTGATGCCATGTCAGAGGCAAGCATGTCACTGAGTGTCTTCCGTGTTAAATACCAAGTGTTGTCAGATGTCTTCGTGACAGTCCTCTAGAATGAAGGGACCGAATTCCTCCTGTTGTGTGTATTATTCTTGCATGTCTAATGAGATATTCTTCTGTAGCTATCAACTAAAGCTGCGTTATGCTCGGGTAGATCACCTCTCCAGGTAACCTCTCTCTGCTTGCCAGGCTCGATGGCAGTATGGAGCCAGCCAACGAAATTCTAGAGTCTGCATCCCATGACCGGCCGTTGGTAGCGCAGACATACAGTGCTGCTGTGACTAAAGGTACATATGTGCCTTCCTCACCCACAAGGCATGGTAAGGAGAAGGCTGGGAATGGGGCAGAGAGCACCTCTGCGTATTGCTTCTTTCTAGATGGCTGCGTGAGCTCGTCTACTTCAACACTGAGCTTTTCATAACTGCGGGGGTGATGTGGAACGCTGGTGAGCAGTAGGAGAAGAGCGCTTGTGATGTACAGTAGCTTCCTAAAGATGGATCAGTCATCTTTGCTACTTTCTGGGTAGAACTTTGTCTCGAATTGTGGTTGATTACTGTACTGATAGTTGCAGTACATGCCAAATGGTTCTTGAGATGCCCTAACACAATTATTTCATACAGGAGTTCTGTACCCACACCTCATGCAAAGCATCTGAATTACAGCCTACTTTTTTTTTTTTCCTAACAAGGTTGATAAATGCTCCTATCGTTCCTTCATGGGAACAGTGACCTTTTAGCCTCATTTGCTGCTCGGTTAAATTGAGAGGATGAGAACTTGGTTAATGCTGCAGCTCTCTAAGTGGAGCTTTTACCATCTTTGTATGGCACTCAGGTCAGCGCAGAGGAAGGACCATCTGCACGTATAGCATCAATAGTGGGTGCAGACTAAGAAAAACATCAGCCTGCCCACAGCACCAGTACATCTTGTGCACACATGGAGTAGTTGAATTTTGATCACAAACTGCTCATGGCAATGAAACTGTTGCAACTAATGTCTGGTACTTGGGCTCTAATCGCTCACTTTGGTTCCAACCTTAGTTTGTGCTGTTGATCCCCCAACTGCTTGTTCCTTTCTCTATAGCCTATACGGATGACCTGGGTGCTGTGGGTGGAGCTTGCCTGGAAGATGAAACCAGCTCTCTTAGATTGGATGAAGACAGTGAGCATCCCCCCATGATCCTTCGGACAGACTAAACTTTGACCTGTGAACTCACTCCTGAAGCAGAGAACACTGGCTTGATGTTTCTTGAGGAACCTCGTGTTATGCTGCTATGAACTTTGACATGAGTTGGGAGAGAGGATGACAGACTCTTACAGTTTTAAGTCGTAGCTGTAGTTCTAATTCTATACAATTGGAAAAATATATGGTTTTCAATTCAGTGGCTTTTAATCTTGCTTATCTATTTTAGCTGTGTTTATTTTTTTGTTGCCAAAACCTGCTGTTCGTGCAGCCCTCAGAGCCTACTAGCTTTGCATGCGTTCATGTGCCAAGCGAGCATAGGAGGGGGAGAGAGAGAAGCCACTTTATAACAAACTCAAGTTTGTATTTTTTTTATATATGTATATAATATTTAGCTTATATAAGGAAGGAGTAGAGAAGTGGTTCTGGAAGCTGAGACTAGTTCTGCACTGACAAAGGTCCAAATGGTTTCCTGTGCATGGGCTTGCAGGCATACCTAGTGACTGACATGCAACCTTTCAAATGCAATGGCCTGTTTTTTTGGGTTCTCCCTCCCCTTTCCTGGACCATTTTGTTAATTAAAATTCCTTCTGAATGTTGTGTATTTGTGGGACTGTTCTGTTTGTTGGGATGGAAAACTGGAAGTGTTTCCCTTCATAAGGATATAGAATATAGAAAGTGCCTTTACAGGGAAGAAAAGAAATTGCTGCAGGAAGAAAGCTAGAATGAAGAAGGAATTGCTAGAGACTTGTTTGTATACTTTTAGTACTTGGGTGTCTGTGGCCCATAATGGCTGATAAGCTTGTGGGGTTTTTTAGAGAAGACTTGGAATGCACTTTCTCTCTCTCTCCTGTAGATTGTCTTATTTCCTTGGTGGAGTAGCAATAACCTTTTTTTATACTTTTTTAAATTATCCAAAGCAAGGATTCTGTCAGGTTGGATGAAAGTCCCTGTAGAGTATGGCAGCCCCACTCTTTAAAACAGCCTTAAGGTTTTCAGCTGGAAGGCATCGTGCTCAGTTCTTGCTTCTCTTCAGTCTGTGGCTGAGTGTACTGCTCTAATAGTGAAGGTTCATGATTTTTTTCCAGACAGTGATGTAAATATAAATGATTTTGAAAGATTAATTTTCTTCTGGGTTCTCTTCTGCTGGATAACAGTGCTTTTTCGTTTTTCTTCTTTTATTTCCCCTTTCATCAGAGTACCTCTTGCGGTACACTCAAAGGACTGGTTGTCTCTTTGGCAGTTGTGGAAAAAATCCTTAATTGCCCTGACCCTGGCTAGGGCTTTCCAAGGCTGAGCAGTGCTGCAGACTATTTTTAGGGTTGTAATGTGCCTTCTCTTAAGTCTTGGATAACGGTTAGTGAGCAAGTGATTAGCAAAGTACTTGGTGAGTGTTACTTTCCTTTGCCAAAATGAGCATGCTTTGCCTTTTGCGTAGCAATGTGGGTTGCTTCCTTTCCCTCTAGTGACTGCAAAGAAATAAGAACAGACAAGGAAACTGCAGATCTGGAGGGGAGGACAGAAGCTGAGTACTCCAGCTAGATGTGAACTCCCTACCACAAGTAGACAATGATGTGCTTTTAGGATTTGGCGCTGTTAACGAGTTTTCTCTCAAGCAATAGCAGGCAGTGGTCTTTGTCCCCAAAGCCCTGTGTGGGCTGGTGGGCTTCCACTTCCTCTAAAAATGCAAAAAGACGGTGGTAGCCCCTGCTAAGAGAGCTGCCTGTACCGGTAAGGCTACTCTTAGTCTGTGGGTGTGGAAGATGTTCTTACAGGAGCACATGTGGGAGGGAAGGGATCAGGCTTGTTTATTCACTGAAAAGCCTTGACTGTCCTAAGTAGCTGGCTGGAGTGGCTTGTGGTGTCCTCTCCAGAACCCAGCACATCTGAAGCACACCACTGAGTCGTGCTGAAATCTTGTTTAGTCTCTTGACTTTAAGCTCTGGCTGGCAACTAAATTCCATGGTCTGGAATTCGTTTTTAATTTTTTTTTTTTTATTTCAAGTGCTATCGGCTTTGATGTGGAGCTCGTAACTGCAGAGTAAAATACAAGTCTTGAAGTAAATACAAGCTCAGTGAGCTTTGCTGGCAAACTGAACCGCCCAGGAGCTGTCAGATGTCTGCTCATTCCAGACTAAAGCTGTTAACATTCCCGATCACATACTTGGAGGCTTGGCATAGACTCCACAAGTAGAGTTAGCAGTAAACACACGTAAGCAACACAGGTCTGCTAAGCACGCAAGTTTTACAACTCTCGAGTGTAACAAAGGCCATCTTACATAGTAAGATAGACCCCTTAATGTAATAGCTAACTCTTACTGCTAAAAATTGAGAACATTTTTTGTACTAATTTTACCCCCTTCTTAACTTTTACACCTTGTCTTCCACAGGTGAGTTGGAGATCCTATATTCACTGTATTTGTGTCTTCCATATGCCGTACTATGCTTCTGCTCCTGAGCCACAGACTGACTGTTGAATCGCTGTGCCCTGCTTGGTTCACTCTTAAGTAGAAACTGGAAGCCAGTTAAAGTATCTATTTTGTTGTTGTAACTGGAGAAAATAATTTTAGAGAGCAAAAGTATTAATACTGTGGAGTTAGTGATCAGCATGGAGCTAGTAGGGTGGAGCAGGTGACTTTTGTCCCCATTGACAGTGTATTTAAGAGTGGTTGCAGTAGTTTGTCTTAAGTTCATTGCGTGAGGATATAAACTTTTTCTCAGAAAAGATAGGACTAATATCCTTTCCCTCTGATGGCCTTAGGCCCTCAGTTAACCACCCTGTTGTGGTATGCTACCAAAGTTAGAAGCCTTTCAGGTTGGGGTTTCATCCCAGTGACACAAAGATGTTTGGGTTTGTTTGTTGTGGGGTTTTTTTTCCTTAAATGTACCAGAAATGCTGTTTGTAGCTGCATCCTCACCTGAGTATGGAGCATATGATTGCACTGTTAATGCTCTGTGGATCAGGCAGTGTCTAAACATGTCTATTCTGATGGTGTAACAGCCCTGGATTCCCCAGGGTAAACCAAGGAGGCTCTAGCCCTGTGCTGTGGCCATGGGCTTCCAGCCATACGATATGGGAACACCTATACAGCTCCTCTCGTGTCAGACTGACCTTCCTTGAAAGGACAGTGTGTGTTCTGTGACAGTGCGTCTCTCTCTAGGTACAGACTGTACCTCTCAATAGCTTTTTAATTCAGTAGAGGGTTTGGGGCAGAGATAGACAACTGAAACAACCAAAGCTGGGGAGGGGGGAAGCACTTAGAAACTTGGAATCCTAAACTCAGGTCTTAGATTGCAGTGGGATCTGTTCCCAGTGAGTACCATGGGGAAGGAGCTGTTTCTCTTGATGTGCAAGTAGGTAGTGAGTGTACATACTCCGCTGCTGTTTCGACATCTGTCTGTTTACCCTACTTTGTATTTCTAGTTCTGAGGCAGAAAGCTTTTATCAGCTCTGGTCTCTTCTTATGTCACTGTTTCCAAAATACAAGTGATAGATACAAATCTAGCAGTTAAAAGGCTGGGCCTGGCAGAGGGGGAGGAAGTAAAAGGCATGAAGAGGTTAGTAAAAACTCTTTGTTCCGAGGCCCTGTCCAGCAAGACGTTTGTGCGGGTGCTCCCTCCAGGATCAGGTGTGTGTATGTACCTTGCTGCTTCAGGTCCTGTGCAAGCGAGTTTCTCGGGCCTGTTTTATGCAGAGGGTGAGGGTAGAGGTGGTGGTTTTTCAAGTCTGCCTGAATGCAAATAAATATCTGAGAAGACTTGTAATACAGTGACAGGTGTCACCACAGAGGAAACCTGCGTCTGACCTATGCGTAATACTAGAAAGGGAGGAATGAACTGAAGAGCCACTGGCTCGGTGAGTAGCATAGAGTCCTGAGAAGCCGATCAGCAGAGCACTCTTCATGTTACATCCCGTGTTCTGCTTTCTTGGCTCTAATAATGGCATTAGCACCAAAGCAACATGCAGTAAGACAGTAGAATTTCTTTCCTTGAAGGTTGCTGAGCTATTCACTATACCACTTGTGTGTGCAGATGCTCTGCCGTTGTTTGCAGAGCGACAGGAGTCTTTGTCCAAAGCATTGGTGGGGATTAATCACTGCAGAAATTTGGAAAGTTTTATTCTGTGCTCCAGCTGTCCTGGCTGACCGTCGCCTTGATTTAACCTGTTAACATCTGAGAGCAAGGCAGAGTGTCCTCTCCACACGTGCAGAGCAGGCCTTTCTTTTTCTGGAATCTGTGCTGCACCATGAAAGGTTTGCAATGAAGAAAGCATGGCTCTGACTGTAAACAAATACTTTCAGATTCCAGTTGCACAACCAAAGGAATTCAGTAAATTCCTATTTTTCTAACCATGACATGCCTCATTTTAACACTCTTCAAATTGGCAAATCTCATCTTAGACTGCCTTGAGAATAACAGACAAGAAGTTTTTATTCTGGCTTGCAAATAGCTACCGTTGTGCTTGTTACAGATATCTCAGTGCTGTGGCTTTGGCCCCACGGCTCCAGCGATCCATACGCTGACTCCCCCTGCACTGCCTTTGCATGTGTCTGACTCGTTTCTCAGGAGTGGTGCGTTGTTCCTGAACCTGTAGCTCTGGGTCTCTATGAGGCGTCAACTCAACCCTTTTGTCTACTTGGATCTATTTGCTCTTGCATTTACCTTCCTCACCTGGAAACAAACCCTGCGTGCTGCAGTGCTCACTTACTCTGTTCGATATCTGTGTCGATAAGTGGAAAAATCTGTCTAACATTCCATCTCACCAAGTGTCTGGCTCACTGCTAGCCCACCGCTCTTTGTAATTTTATAACTGCCTAAGAAATTAAATCTGTGTTGTGATAAGTATTCTGTGTCTTCTTCCTTTTGTTTGCTGCTTGGAGATGGGGCCGGATAAGATCAGGGTGTGACGCTACATGTGTTCTGTGGCCCAAACCGAAATGCCAGCAGTAATAACCCCTCTGTCCTAGCTGAGCTGCGTAGCTGCGCTCGAAAGACACAGTCAGCTTGGGTTTTGCAGGGACTGGGAAAGGAAAAGCTGAGTTTCTCCTGGCACACTTTGCTTGCAAATGTAACTTTCCCCCTCCTGTTCCTCCTTAAAGCTGCTCTTGGACTTGGACTTGTGCATTTTTCTCCTGCTCCTCAGGTGAGTTTAGGTAATTTCCTTTATTCTTTCTCTTTTTGGGTTGCATCTGAACCAGTGCTTTCAAATACACACCCGCTCACTGTGCTGTCACTCCACGCTTGCCGCTTCTCACCTTCGAGCCCAGGAGGAGGATCTGGAGCGAGCCCATGTGGATGTGTGAGGAGGCATCTCCTGCCTCTGTGTGTATCCTTCCTTTTGCAAAGCCACAGTAAACACTTTGATTGGGGTGGACGAGAGGAGAAAAAGCCTTTCTGCTCTTGCCAGCAATGGTGGAGCACGCAATGAGGAGACTCTCCTCATTCTCCTGTGTGACCGTTTCCTAGCGAGGCCTCGGCTGTGAAGCTGCAGCCAAAGCCTGATCTAGCTCTGGAGGGCAGCGCTGTCCTGCCGGTGCCGTCTGTGCGCCTCCGTTTGCTTTGGGCAAAATAGGTTGTGTTAGCTCAGATGAGTGTTTCTAAACT